GCTGTGCAATATTGGATTCATTTTTCTCCGCATCTGTTGCGGGTTCCTAGTCTGAATTTTCCCGCTATATCCCCTGTCTTTTCCCTGCCTGCCTTGGCATTTAGGTCTCACATGATAATGATGACTTTCTGTGATTTGCATAGAGTCTTGACACTATCCAGCATGGATTAAAATGATTCAATGTCCTCTTACTTGCTTTGTGCCGTCAGTGCATACACTACTATAATAGCCGCATTAGAAGGCTTTCCCTTTTAGCTTCACTACCAGAATTCTTGGTGGTATAACAGCTCAGAATTGGAAATCAGAAATCTGAGTTTCAATTGGATTCATTATATTTACTTATGCACAAATAAACTTGGGAAAGTTATCAATACATTTCTCCTCTCCATAGCTATGGGTTAATTAGTAGAACATGTATCAGTAAATAATTATTATCTCCCAAAAACTTCTTACAATCTAAAAATATTTTCAGCCTTTAAATAATTTAAAAAAGTTGATAAACTGTAAAAAATAGATCAGTCAATATAAACATTTATACATCTATATATATATATACATATATATGCATACATATATACATATGTATACATACAGATATATATACATATATACACATATGTAGACACACATGCATGCATACATATACACATATATACACACATTTATGTATACATATACACATATATACACACGCATGTATACATATGTACTAGCCAATCTCTATTGCAGACACTCGCTCAGGCACATTTGTGTTTGTTCAACACTCACGGAGCCCACCTGTGGTTGATACTGCAACTATGCTGAATAAACCATAGTTACAGTTTCTGGGAGAGAGTGTGTTATCTAGCATGATCAAAATTTGAACAAGGCCAGCACGGTCAAACCCTCAGTCACAATGACTTGTGGCTTTCTGCTAGCACAGCTGTCAACAGCTCACAAGAGTTCTGTCTACCCAATTTCACTCACAAGGTTTGGTTCAACTCGTGATATGGTTTTCAGGCACTTTCCAAAGTTGCCACACGCTGGGATCAACTTCGATCCATTCCGATAGCATCGGGAAGTCACATTCCTGACGAATAGACTATGGTGAGATTCAAGCCTGGGTCTTATGGTTAGAATTCAAATGTTCTAACCACTCAGTTATGCACCCCTACATATACACACACATATATATACATACAAACATATATACATAAACACATCCATATATACACACAAATAAATATAAATATGCACGTGTATATTATATATATATATATATATATATATATAAAATGGACTCTCCCATCAGTTTCAACGTATGAGGATCTGACAGCTTAATTGATTTGGTTATGAAATTTTGTGCGATAATCTTAAGTGGCACTTAAGACCCACTAGTGATTTACAAAGGTGGCCACATATGGAGCAAGAGTGAGGATTGTGAGATGAGATCATTGTTAGATTGGCTGACCTTTTAGATCTTGCTCTCACTTCTTGGAGATGATTCAGACAAGCAGATTGAAAACTGCTGAGTTCACTAAAACATGTTGATCTCCATTCTATCCACTCCAAGACTAAGCGCTCAAGGGTGTTATATGGTATATTGACAACTGACAAGTTGCTTTTCAGCTTGTCTTTGTATCTTAGCCATGTGAGCCCTAAATTCCTGTAGCCCTGATCTAACTGGCTGTACATTAAGATCTTGGGTATCCTGTCATCAGACATTCTCAAGACATGACCAGTCCACCATAACTGAGACTGTATGAGAAAAGTCTCGATTCCTCCAATATTACACCTGTTATACAGGTCTATGTTAGATGTCCTATCTTGAAGGTTAACTCCATAGATAGCATGCAGACAGCTTTTATGGAAAATATCCAGCTGGTGTATATGATACCTGTATGCAGTCCACAACTGAGTTGTACAAAAGGATGCCAAAGGATGGATGATCTGTAAACACAAATTTTCATATCCAGTCGAATACCCCACTCATTCCACAAGTGATGGCAAAGTTTGCCAAAAGCACTGGTAGCCTTAGCAATCCGATACATGATTTCATCATCTAAAGAACCACTGTAGTTGACTTTGCTACCAAGATGAAAGGTGAAAGACTTTACATACTTCAGGGCTTTGTCTTGTACTGTCAATGGTCTCTCTGGAAATTTGTAGACTGGTGGTTTTTGTTTCTCACCACAAAATTGCTTCGAAGTAGGACAAGGTTGGTGCACTACTTCAGTTTTCTTTATGCTAAGTGTAAGACCAAAGGCTTTACATGCAGCAGAGAAACAGTTTATTAGATGTTGGGACTCCTCAAAGGATGTCGCTACAAGAGCAGCAGCATCAGCAAACAACAAATCACGAATAATTTACGTATGAAGGTGGGTTTTGGCTTTGAAGCACTGATGATTGAAAAGACCACCAGTTGTTCGAAACTGAAACTCGACACTGTGATGAAAGACATGACTTACCTTAGAATTCGAAACGAATGCAAACATGTCTTGCCTGCAAAGTGATGACAAAAAGAAATATGGCCGCTATTGAAGACACAATTTATGCACGCTGATCTTGTCCAAAACAATGCAAATTTCAGCCGTATTAGAACAGCATAAAAAGCAGGGTGCCAGGAGCATGAGTGAATCAGGAGTCATTCGGTGGACTGCGTGCAATAGAGCTGGATGTACGAACTGACAGATGAACAAAGAGGAAGTTGAAGTAGGTGCAACTGAGTTTGGTGTCTGTTTCACAACTGCCCTGTGTAACGGCTGAGAAAGAGAGTCCCGCAATCCATTTCCTTGAGGCAACCAAAGAAGAAGAAAAGAACAGCTGGCCTTCCAGTGAGTACTGCATTTTTTAACCCACCCCACTCATAACCATTTTTTTTTTTACTACAGACACCACTCTCTATGTCTGCAAATGCATATTTCAGCATCGCCGAGAAGAAAAGGGCAAAAAGGACAGGGGTCATGACACAAACTTTCTTGGTGCCCTTTGTGACATCAAAGGATTCTGACATCATACCATCAGACACAATATTAGCTTTCATTCCTTCATAAAAGGAGATGATGACTTTTAGCATGTATATATATATATATATATATATATATATATATATATATATATATTATATAACACAATGTTATATTAATAATAAATATACATTTTTTCCTCACCAGTAGCACAATTCTGAGTTTCTTGCACAATGCAATCTTCAGGTGTAAATTGGTTATTAGAGTCAGCACTCAATGTGTGATATTTTATATCACTTTTAAACATTATTTTTAGTGAATATTCGTATTCGAGCAGACATTCTATTTATTTATTAAACAGTATATTTATTTATTTTCATCTACCAGTCTGAATATTCAGAATTAATAAATAAAAATCCATTACTTATTGCTTTGTTTACATTTGGATATGAAACTGAGCAGATATGAAAATTCCAAGAAAGTCTATAACAAGAGGAATTTCACTTAAAGACACTAGTCAGCCTTGCCTGATCGGCTAAGTTCTCTGTAGCCCAGTCAGTTAGAGCACATCAGATCTAACAATGGTTCCCTCATCCCAGGTTTGAATCCTGCCAGAGAGGGAATATTTCTCTTGGACATACGAAAATAAACATACTATTTAATAAATAGATGTAGTGTCTACTCAAATATGAGTATCTACTAAAAATAACATTTGAAGTTATATAAGTGAACACTGAGTGGCAAAAAAGAAAAAGCCAACACTCAATAATATTAACTACAAACACAGCCACAATGTGCTGGCTGTGTTCAGAAAATAAAACATCCCTATAACTCTAGAGATATACACACAACCCCTTCACCCAATTAAAAAACAAAAATAAAGTTATCCTTGATAATGGCTAAAAGTATAGCCAAAAGCACTGGGAATTACAGAACATTTGGATAGCATCTACACACTATGCCCAGAAAAGAAAATACTTGTTCAAACACAAGAAAAATTAAATAAAAAGCTTAATCACAGTACTTTGTCTGTCATCATTAATGAAACATGTGTGTGTATATATATATATATATATATATATATATATATATATAAGCAGATAAATAGAAAAAAGTTATATGGTTGGATTTTTTTGTTTTCTGTTACATATCAAAGTTGTTGAAAACTGTTTTAAAATCTATCAACATATTTCATGAACACCTAGAAAAAGTTCAAAGTATAAACAGGATTGTAATAGCATTTATGGTACAATAACATTCTATTCCAGAAAAACAAGTTTTTAGACATTGATTTAAAAAACAAGAAAAAACATTGACTTTAACATATATTAGGCATTAAATGGAATGTTGAATGATTCAATGTTTGGTTTGGTTTGGTTGTTTTAGTTTAGCAGCATATCAACCTATATGGGTTATTTAATGTCAAACTCTAAATATTTCAAATGCAATTTTATGCCTTCAACTACAGATATTCTGTACATAATCTTATACTTTCAAGGCATGTTTTATAGATATATAGTTTGTAGATGATCTGTTGTAGGTGTTATATGTTAGAAACATAATCTGGCTGTGAGTTCTTCAATATTCACTGGTTACTCACTACTGGAGTTCTAGACAAAGCTGAGATCATTAAATATCCATATAGGTTGCCTACTATGGAATAATGGTTTTCAAGTTAATTTCATAATCTATTGCTAGTGTTGTGGATATAACCATTAGTGAATACTCCACTTCTATGATCCTGTAGCAAACAAAGCCTAGTTTAGTAAGTATTTAAGGTAGCCTGTTATATCCCTGCACCAAACAAAACTAAGTTTAGTAACTATCTCAAAAGACATCTGTCACAGAATGATATCAAGACAATTTTGCAAACAATAATGAAATGGGTTTAATCCTCATTGGGTACCCTACTATTGTAGCTCTCTGCCAGACTAGTCTTAGTAAATATCTACTCTAGCTGTTTATACTGATTGGAAATATAAGTCAACTTTGTTTGAAATTAGTGCAAGGTTTGATCAACACAAAATATGGAAAAAAAAAAAGGTTTTTTCTTACCAAATTTCTCCAATGTCTTTACTTTCATTGTAATTCTCAAGTTCGAGTTTGTATACTTCATCCCAACTGAAAAATAAATATTTTGAAATAACAGTAATCAAACTGGGTCATCTTAGCTAGAAGCAATAAAGAAAGAAACAAAGAAATAAAAATAATACTATTATTATTTGAACATTGGTAATAACCAAGATGAAGCTCTACAAGTCCCTGGGGCTGTCCTTACTGTTCTATAGATGTGAAAGCTGGACTCTGATTGAAGAAACCACCAAGAGAGTCCCAACATTTGAAATGAAAAGCTTTGGAAATCTCCTGGAGAGAATACAAGACAAATGACTTTGTACAGGGCCAAGTAAAACAACTGGCAGGCCCCAGGAGCCCCTCTTGGCAATCGTAAAGAGGAGAAAGCTGTAATGGCTTGGACATGTCATACATCACAATGACCTATCCAAGACAGTCCTTCAAGGTACCTTGGAACTGGGTAGATGTCGGGGGAGGCAGTTCAAATGCTGGATGGACATCATCAAAGAATGGACCAGGATGGATACTCCAATGCTATTTTATGAAGCAGAAAACATTGTCACTTATGTCTCCTTTACAATCAGCTCAGTCATGAAAATAGATAGAAATACTTATAAAGATAGCTGTTATAGACAAGCGTATGGTTGCAAGAAAGAAATACGACAACAACAGAAATAGATTTACGTGGTTTATTTCAACAGGAACGTGTGGGTTTGGGACAGCTACCTTGTGGTAAAGTTCATAGGCCGGCTTCGGATCTAGATCGATCTCTCATAGTAGTTCACACATGTTGACGGTGGTTGACGCTCCCCTGCTGTCAGTAGCTGACCGTGACAGGTCTCTACTCTGGGCACCTGTTGACTGACCATTGAACTTCCGTGTGACCCCTTTTATAGCGTTTTTTTATGGCTTAACAGGCTCGAAAAATGAAGCGAGTATAATTAGGAGGGAAGCATTTTTATTGGACGAAAAAATAGAGCACTTTAAATATTATTTTATTTTTTCGACCGGAACACGTGTCGGGAACATTTGTAAAGAAAGATAATGGTCATTTTGTGATGGGGATTTGTCCCGTTTACATCCGGTTCTTGCTCTTGAGTATTTGCCTGTAAATCAGCCAAGATATGTCTTATTTTATAACATAGCACAATTTGCTCTTACTAACATTTACTACTATTAGCTTAGACTAGCACAAGGCTACAATTACAAAGAGCCCAGTTAGGATCAAATACACTTTAGTATTAATTGCTTTATGTTAGTTTGCTAACCATTGCTCCATGGAAAAGTGAGCTATTTATTAAGTTTATTATGTAAAGCACAAGGCACTAGGCAGCCAAATAAGGAGAGAATTCACTACAGTAGTCACGGTCAGCTCCATGGCAAAGGGCTTTCTTGATATTTATTTAATGCTGTATACCACAAGGCAACTATTGCTAGGCAGCCAAATTAGAAGTAAACTCACTACAGTAGTAACACTGCTTCATGGCAAGTAGCTTTCTTCATATTTACTTAGCTTTGTAAAGCACAAAGCAGAAAATGAGGAATTTGGAGTAAGAAGTAGTGATGGGATGATTAATTGGAATCGGAATCAGGAATCAGAAATATCAGAACTTTTTGGGGTATTGGAATCTGCATCAGAGAATTTTTAACCTAATTTCCAATTCCAAAAACAATTCTTCGGATTTTCTTTTTGCCTAAAACTTGATTTTCCATTCCCGGTACCAATGATAAAAAGATATAAATATTTATTGATTTTAAACTATCAGTAAAACTAAAATTTATAGTCCATAATAACATCTAAGTTGAATATGATGTAAATTTATTTTACTTGTATAAAAAAAAAAAAGAAAATAAATGAAATGTGCAAGTTTCTACTCAGTTCTCGAATTTTCCACAAAGTTCGCTAGTTTAAAGTCTGTTTTAGTTCAAAATAAAATTTTTATTTTTAATTATTAATTCACCCATTTAATATTATAAATTATTAATTTAATATTAATATTAATTTAATTATAATTACAATTATGTAATATAAACACAAAATGAATTCATGTTGTTGTTCCACCCGGCTCTCTTTTAAGACAACTTTTATTATTTTTTTTAATTTATGAAAAGTATAAAAAAAAAAAATGAATGTATGGAATTCCTGCCAACGTCCCATTTGATTTCTTTACATAAAAAATTGACCTTGTGTCACAAACTGTCCATGTGGTGAGGCAGTAAAATTAAAACAATTTGTTTTTATAATAGTTTTAATCAATAAAATCATTTTTTCATCTCGGTTATTGAAAAGATTTATTTTTGTTTATGTAGCATATGATGCAAACAAAAATAAATCTTCTCAATAACCGAGACTTAAAAAAGTAAACATTCTTTTTATGAAACTTAAATTTGTTTGTACAAAATTCATTTCTTAAAATTTTATAGCTTTTGAAACAGATTTTCATCTTTATTTACTTAAAAAACAAACAATTTGAAGTTTCCCCAAAAATTGCTTTTTCACACAGAAGTTTGTATTAAAAAACCTAAAATTTAATTTCCATCAAACATTGTATTTAACTTTATTACTAATATTTTTCTTTGGCATAACTAAACTTAAATTATTATGGCATTTAAAATATTTTGAAATTTTTTTTCATTTATTCCTCTTCAGAGGCAAATGAGATGCAAGTTTTATAAGTAGAAGTGAATAAAAAAGTTAAAAACAAGTATTTTTACCCCACTTTTATTTGGTGTGATTAAACTATAGCTTTTTTTCACTTTTAACATGTTTCAATATTTTTAAAATAAAACAAGTAAAAATCCATCTTCTAATAATCTAATAAATAACTGAAAAAAAATCAATCCCATGCAAAAAATACACATTTACAGTTGTTCTCATCCTTATGAAGATTTTAATCATTTTTTAATCTTATTTTAATGTTTTGTAACAGTTTAATCCCATTCCTTATAAAATGATGAAGTTTTGATTTTAAAAATCAAAGGATATGTTTTTACTGTGTTGTTGCTCTTTTACTTTTTTTTCTTTTAACAAAAATAAAACACTCTTTGATTCTTTTAGTAATAAATGAATTTTTTTATTGTGAGAAATTTATTTTAAACAGTATAACTTATTAGTGATTAATTTTTTAGTTTAGATTGAAGACCCTTTATTATTTTTTTTATTAAGTTGCTTTGATAATTCAAATTTAATTCCTATTAAATGTCTGTAAGCAAATTTAAAATTTGCATTTATTTTTTATTCACTGTCCTGCAGGATTAGGTACTGTTTGTACTTTATCAAAATATATCGAAATTGAATTGTCACCCATAAATTTGTTCCATTCATTAAAAAAATGGCACATATAAAATTTTAAGGAGATTGCATAATATTTAGAGGGTGCCTTTGCTTGTTAAAACTTAAAAGGTGGGCAATAAAACACCCTTTTTTATTTTACAATTAATAGCAAACCATTATTATTATCTAACAAGGAAAAAATGTTTATTATTCTCAGAGTCCAATTATAACAAGAGTATCCAATACCAACCAGAAAAGTTAGTTTGGAAGTTTTTTAACATTTCTGATGATAACCAAAGTAAAACAATGTCAACTGTAGCTTGGTACTTAAGTGATTTACATAAAGAAATTGTTCTCTTTATTGTTTAAACTCTTAACCAATTTTTTAAATAAAAAGGATATCTAACATTATTTCATAAACTTTTGAATTCGTTTTTCTACCAAATGTTTTAGCAATAAATGTATTTTGTTTATTAAGTTTCCCAAACCAACTGTAGGGCCTGAAAATAAAGAATTTTAATCATTGTAGGTATCAAATTCATATCAGAGTTGAAATTTAGAACAGTATCAGAATTGGTAAAAATATTGGTATCATCCCATCACTAGTAGGAAGACTATGCTAAGTCAGTCTTCCAAAATTACTTGTCTTGAAAATAAGCATTTGAAACCTTGGCTTTCATCTAGTACTGAACACCACTGATACAAATGGAAAATCTGTAAATTTTCAGATATAAAATCACCAGAATTTCTTCTTATTTTCTGCAAGAGTTCTACTCAAATGATACCATCACCTGCTGCAGAATGCTTATTAGTATGCTGATCTCACAAATCATTGTTAGTGTATTAAGTTTATTTATGGGTACACTGCTTTGTAATTCATATGCATATTCTTTTCTAATAGTTTTTTTTTCATCTTGGCCAAATCAGTCATTTAAATTTTCGCAAAATTAATATATTTCCTGATATTAAAGATGCTACTGGTTTCTAAAATAACTAATGGTTACTGTGTTCTACGGATTGAAGGTTAGTTTTTTATTTAACTTTGTTTCATATTTATTCTTTTTTCTCCCCACACCACCAAATATTTAACAAATTACAAATCAAAATGAAAGGATACCCTTGAGGCCAGTATGTGTGTGTGTATATACACACACACACATATATATATATATATATATATATATATATATATATATAATTATCCGTTTTAGTAAAAGAAAAAAAAATGTATTGGGGTCGATCAAAATTTCCATTTCTAATTAATCAGTTTTCAAACTTTGAGATCTTCTATTGTGTCTCAAGCTCAAAATCTTTTTTTGAACTTCCCAAATCATTTCTGATACATGCTTGCACCTACTGCATCGCTACCATAAGCTCTAGTGATCCATTCCCTAATACTTCTGCTGTACATTAAACACAAGGAGTGAACAGTTGAAGGTGCATATTTGACCTTGATTATCAACAAAAGAAAGTAAATTTTCACTTTACAGCAAACAATTCTTAGAGAGCTGAATGAACTTGAAAAGAAACTTTTATGTTATCTCTAATGTTATGTAATTTATGGTGCTGGGATCTTTTTGTTTCAAACTAATATTAAAGCAAGAAAAAATAAAACATATTTTAAATTGTTTTATTCTTACTTTGTAAAAAGTTTCTTTTAACTCATTCACTTTGAAATAAACGATCATAGTAGAATGTAGATAGCAAAAAGTTCCTTTATGCTATTCAATATATTTTAAGATTAACATGAGGTAATAAAACAAATTGGCAATTT